CTGGGAGGCCGGTGAATGGAGCCAAGAGCCGGCCGCAGGCTCCCGGGCCAGGGCGGCCTCTCCCGAGGCCAGCAGCTGCGGAAAGGGTGGAGGAGGAGACGGCAGGCGGCCCCGTGGGCGCTGTGGGAACCGGGGAGGGACTGACACCCGCGCTAGGCCTGGAAATCGGGTGTCCCGATCCCCCGGGCTGTTGCTCGTATTAAGCAGCCTCTGCCATCCGATCCCTGGAAGGAAAGAGGGGAACCGCACCGCGAGCCCGTCTTATCTGCTTGTCCGCATCTGGCTTCCGGTTGTTGCGGGTTGACCTGTGACCTGTCAGGTGTCGCCCCGAAGGTGAAAAGGGCCCTGCGGGCCCTGAGCCTGCGTGAGAGTCGGAGCTGGAGCTGCGCGTGCACCCGGGACCGGAGGAGCCGGGCCAGCCCATTCATTGCGCTGGGGCGCCCTTGGCCTCCGGGGAGTGGACCCCGAGAGATGCCGCCGGGGCAGGATGTAGTCCGCGTGCAGGTTTTGTGCAGGTTTCGTGTCCAAGTTCTGTAGCGGATGCTTTTACCCTGCAGCCGCCTCCTTCCCTTCCCTACCCCCTTCCATGCATTAAGTCGCCTTAAGGCTCACTTTTCAAAGGTCTGGGTCCACCTCCCTCCCGTGGCTTTTACGGCCTGAGAGCGCTGCTCTTGGGCATTCTGTACCTGGAAGACAATAGTATTTTTCTTGTTGGTTGAGATGAGATGCCAAGATTAGCACACACCGGTTTCCCTTTAGCACAGCCTGACTTCCTGGAGGAAGTCAGGGGTATGTGACTTGCTTATTGTGAAGCCACAGACCTTGGCTAGTAAACAGCCCGCATAGCAGGGCCAGCCTGGCCGAGTGGGGGAAAAAGGAATGGGTTTCATACTCTGTCGCTCTCTGGGAATCCGAACAAGCGAATGGCCTGTCTTCGCAAAATTATCTCCTTTCTAAGGGGAAGACACTGTTACCTGATTACAGGGTTTTTTTTCTCTCCTCCTCCTCCTCCACCTTCGAGTGCGGCGAGGGAAGTGAGAAACCACTAACCTATCTGAGCGCTTGCGGTGTGCCCTGTGTGTTGTCAGCTCGGGGTGGATCGGCCCCTTCTCGAAGTCGATCGGAACACCGGTGACCGCCGCATTGAATGGTAGTTCCTGTCTCAGAGGAAACCCAGACACAGTGAGATCACCCCCTTCCTGCGGCCCCACAGCTGCCAGAGGCGGAGCCCAGGTGGTGAGGCCCGGATAAAACCCCGTCTGAACACTAAGTGTTTGTAGGTAGCAACACACGTCCAGGCCTAGCATTTACTAGCAAACAGTATATATTGTGTAAATCCTCATTCCCCTTCCCGCCTATAGTAGTATAGCTGGGTGATGCGCACTGGCTAGAGGAGACCCAGATGCTAGGCAATGGAAGCTAATGGATTTACGTATATTATGCAATCAATTGATATTATGAAATCAATGGATATTATTGATCCAGTTGGCACATTTTATCCTGTAGCATCAGGCTTATGCCAGTGCGTTCCCCCTTCCCCCCCAATAAAGATAGATGTGGGTTTTCTTTTTTTAATATATTTTTATTGATTTCAGAAAGGAAGAGACAGGGAGAGAGAGAGAGAGAGAGAGAAACATCCATGATGAGAGAGAGTCATGGACCAGCTGCCTCCTGCAAGCCGCACACTGGGGATTGAGCCCATAACCTGGGCATGTGCCCTGACTGGGAGTTGAACTGTGACCTCCTGGTTCATAGGTCAGCGTTCAACCACTGAGCCACGCTGGCCGGGCAGGTGTGAGTTTTCCTAACCTGGCATGTAGAGGAATCATCCTGGCCATCCCTCCATTCCCTTGGGTGTAGACACCATTGTCTAAGGTTCTCTGCTTGGGAGGGGGCACACTGCCCCAGGAGGCTTGGAGCATAACTTATTTCAATGTTTCACTTTTCTTCGTCTCTCCCCCAGGCAGCACTTCTTTTCTTAGCTTGGAATTTTAGACATGCTGCTGCAGATGAGCAGCCCGAGTCTCTGTTGGGACATGCTGTCCCAACAGCTGCTGACAGGTGCTAAAGGGCCTTTGCCACTGATGACGTCAGATAGTTCCCAGAGTCCCCTGTTGGCGCTTCCGGGGGCTCCCGCTGGTCCCGTGGCTTCCCTGGCTGCAGTATGTGACCATGTGGTGGAGACGCTGGGATGTCTCATGTCTCCCTCCTTCTCCTGGACAAGCAGGTGGATGGATGCTGGGCCCTTTGGAGCCATCGCCAGCCCCTCTCTGTCCTAAGAAGAAAAGGTGTGGGAACCAATTCGGGATTTATAGTGAACTCTGTCACAGCCCGAGGGGCTCATGTTCTGTGTCCAGAAGCCCCATAGGATCCACATCAGGGTCTAGATTCGTGCCAGAGTCCAGAACGACTCCCGTCTTCAGCATCAGACAGACCTGCCCTCACCAGCTAGCATTCAGCTCTGATCCTGACCAAGTCCAGAAGACTTAAAGATGGCCAGTGCAGCCCTAGCTGGTTTGGCTCCGTGGATAGAGCGTGGGCCTGCGGACTGAAGGGCCCCAGGTTTAATTCCAGTCAAGGGCGCATGCCAGGGTTGCGTGCTTGATTCTCAGTGCGGGGAGAGGCAGTTGATCAATGATTCACTCTCATCATTGATGTTTCTATCTCTCTCTCCCTCTCTGAAATCATCAATAAAATATATTTAACAAAGAAAAAAAAAAAAGGTGGCCAGTACAGATAGTAACTTCCTTAACTGAGGGACCAGTTGTTTAAATCAATGAAATCAGTCTGATCGCCCTCAGAACTTTGATCTGCAGTTCCTTGGAGGTGATAAGGAATCAGTGGACAGGAGCTTTTATAATGAGAGCTATTTCCTTTCTTGTTCTGGCTATGAGGAAGTTAACCACATTTGGCAACTGCAGTTACCCTTACTATTAGTATATTTGCTCAATCCTTTTTTTCCCCCCCTTGACCCTGATTTTGTGTGTTTGTTGACATATATAATTTTGTGACAAGTATCTTCGGATTTTTTTAAAATATATTTTTATTTCAGAGAGGAAGGAAAAAAGGGAGAGAGAGATAGAAACATCAATGATGAGAGAGACTCTTCGATCAGTTGCCTTCTGCACGCCTCCTACTGGGGATCGTGCCCTTCTGGACCCTGGACCTTTATTGACGTGGTGCCCGCGAGTGCAGGTGTGCCAGGCTCGGCTGTGCTCTTTCCTCGTTTTGTGACCTTGAACGTGTCCCTTCTTGCTGAGCCTACTTATCCACGTGTTCAAGGAGCCCAAGGTAACGATGATCAAGTTCACGTCGGCAGCTCTTATCTGTTCTGCCCGGAATTTATTTCCTACCTGTAGGCAAGGCAGCTTCCAGCCCGCATCGCACAGGCTCTCCACTTAAAGGTCGCCCTTCCCTCAAGGACTGTCCTTCCTCCTAAACTTCCCATTTCAGCCAGTAGCACTGGTTCTCTTCCAGCTGCATGAAGCCGGTGCCGTGTGCCACTTGCCATGCCTGTCATTTTACTTCACGTCTGAATGAAATATTAATGTCGGGATGAGCAGGAGTGCCTGTGGTCACTCGTGTTACTGAGCACTTTTTTGAGGTTTTATCTAGTGCCAGAAGATGCTAAATGAGTATAAATATTAAAAAGACCTGGATGTCGTTACATGTCGACGATACCGTTAGTCACTGAGTGAATGGAGATGTTACTAGAGCTGTTGAGAGTTCAATAATGTGGGCACAGGAAATACTCAGCTCCAGCCAGTGAGGAAGACGGCAGATGTACGGGGTGCTTATCTCTGCCTGGACCACTCCCCCCCCCCCCCTTCCCCCCCTTTCCCCCTTACCCCCTTCACCTGTGAGATTCTTAACTTCCCTCTCCCTTCATTGGTCAGTGGCACAGGCTCCAGGAAGTCCCGCCTCCCCTGCTCCACCAGAGTGGGGCCATGAGGCCCTCCCATGTTGTAATATGTAGCGGTACTTCATTCCTTCTTAAGGCTGACTACTGTTCTTGTCTGAGTTCCTGTTTTCAGTTCTTTGGGGCGTATACTGATTTGTTGAATGATGGGATCATGTGCACAGCCTGTGTTTAACTTTTTGAGGAACTATCAAGCCGTTTCCCACAGCAGCCACACCGTTTCCCATCCCCATCAGCAACGCACGAGGGTTCTAGTTTCTCTGATCTTTGCCAACACTTGAGATTGTCCATTTCAAAAAAAAAAGATGGCCATGCTAGCGGGTGTGAAGTGGTCCCTCGTGATTTGGTTTGCATTCCCTGATTAATAATGACGTAGAGCATCGTTTCATGAATGTAGTGTCCATTGCTACATATTCTTTGGAAATTTGCCTATTCAAGACCTTTGACCATTTTTTTTTTTTAAGTTGGGTTGCCCTTTGCTTGGTGAATTTTAGGAGTCATTTGTATGTTGTGATATGAGACCCTTCATGCATATCTTGGAACGTTAGGTCCCCCGGCCTGGCTTTGTTCTCCTTTTTGTGTGTGTGTGTTTTTTTTTTAATCTGTGGTAAATGCTGCAGGTGGGAGAGGGCAGT